TGTTGTGGCGTGCTGACAAAGCTTTTCCACATTTCGGTCATGCTAACCCTGCGTTGGCGACCTCTTCCTCCTCCTCTGCCTTCACCTTGTGCTTCCACTGGGCCCCGGTGCCAGTTGGGAATGCCCTCAGCAGCGCGTCTACCAGCGTGCGCTTGTAGTTGCGCATCTTCCGATCACGCTCCAGTGAGGGAATTAAGGACGGCACGTTGTCCTTGTAACAGGGATCCAGCAGGGTGGCCACCCAGTGATCAGCACAAGTTAGAATGTGGGCAACTCGGCAGTTGTTGCGCAGGCACTGCAGCATGTAGTCGCTCATGTGTGCCAGGCTGCCCAGAGGCAAGGATAAGCTGTCCTCTGTGGGAGGTGTATCGTCTGTGTCCTCCGTATCCCCCCAGCCACGCGCCAGTGATGCCCACTAGTTGCGTTGGGTGCCACCCTGCTGTGAACACGGTTCCTCCTCATCCTCATCATCCTCCAGAACTGTGCCCTGGCTGGACAATTGTGTACCTGGCCTATGCTGGTGCAGGAACCCACCCTCCGAGCCACTTGTGAAGGACTAGCCTGGTAACTATGGAAATGACCCCTCTTCCTCCTCCTCTTCCTCCTGTGCCACATCCTCTTCCATCATCGCCGAAAGCGCTTTTTCAAGGAGACATAGAAGCAGGATAGTAATGCTGAGAACGGCGTCATCGGCACTGGCCATGTTGGTGGAGTACTCAAAACAGTGCAACATGGCACACAGGTCTCGCATGGAGGCCCACTCATTGGTGGTGAAGTGGTGCTGTTCCGCAGAGTGACTGACCAGTGTGTGCTGCAGCTGAAACTCCACTATCGCCTGCTGCTGCTCGCACAGTCACTCCAGCATGTGCAAGGTGGAGTTCCACCTTGTGGGCACGTCGCATATGAGGTGTGAGCGGGAAGGCCGAAGTTACGCTGCAGCACAGACAGGCGAGCAGCAGCAGGGTGAGAACGCCGAAAAGCACGCACATTCTGCAGCAGCTCTGATATATCTGGCCAGGCAAGGGATGTGCGTCAAACCGACTAGGCCCACTTTTCCCCCGAACATATGAGTTTTAAAACAGCCTGCTGTCATTTCCCCCTGGCTGTGCTAAAGTTGGTGGTGCAGGTGTTACGCTGACCGGATGAGGAGGTGGTAGAGGAGGAGGAAGTGGAGTAGGCAGAGGAGGCAACAGGAGGCAAAGAGAAATGCCCTGCCGAAGAACATGCGCCAAACTGCTATGCACCTCAGGCCCAGCCGCCACTAAATTTGCCCAGTGTGCAGTTAGGGAGATATAGTGTCCCTGCCCGTGCTTACTGGTCCACGTATCAGTGATTATGTGGACCTTGCCACAGATGGCGTTGCGCAGTGCACACCTGATTTTGTCCGCCAATTGATTGTGCAGGGAAGGGATGGCTCGTCTGGAAAAGTAGTGGTGGCTGGGAACCACGTACTAAGGGACAGCCACCGCCATCAGGTTTTTAAAACTGTCTTTCTCCACCAGATGGAATGACAGCATTTCAAAGGCCAGGATTTTTTAAATGCTGGCATTCAGGGCCAGGGATCGCGGGTGGGTAGGTGGGTACTTCCTATTTCTCTCCAGTGATTATTTTTATTTTTATTGGACTGCAAGAAATGCACCGCAGGCCGCAAATGTACTTTTTAGCACCAAAAAAATGTGAATTAGTCAAACTGCAGTGTAACCACAGTATTTGACGGCTCTATTTGACTCTCAGATATGAAGTGCACCGCAGGCAGCAAATGTACTCTTTAGCACCCAAAAAATTTGAATTTTTCAAACTGCGATGTAACCACAGTATTTGACAGTTCTATTTGACTCTCAGATATGAAGTGCACGCCACAAATATACTTTTTAGCACCAAACAAATGTGAATTAGTCAAACTGCAATGTCACCGCAATATTTAAAAATGCCTAGATGTTGCCCACTGAGCTACCAGAACAGGATTAAAGTAATGTGCCCGGCACACATGCAGTTGCAAGTGCACTGCACTCTCTGTGGCACTGGGCTCAGGGCAGGGTACAAAAATGTAGTATAGCACCCACTAAAATTATCGCTGTAGTTTGCAGATTCAACACCGGAATTCTTTCCTAATCTGTCCCTGACAGCTGCAGCATCCTCTCTCTACACTAATAAGAACTCATCTGACTCCACCTTATATAGAGGCTGGGTCACATGCTGCACTGGCCAATCACAGCCATGCCATTAGTAGGCATGGCTGTGATGGCTTCTAAGGGCACACGAGTCAAACGCTTGTTGATTGGCTGCCCTGCAGCTTGGACTACGGTCAGTGTGCCATTTGAATTAGTTTTGATGGATAGATGGGAATTGTGTAATTATTTAATTTCCTTTTTGATTGCCTGTTTGATAAAATTTTATTGTGATCTACTATTCTCTATTCTTTATTTGTTCTTCATTTTCAAGTTCCTATTTTTACTTTTATTTGTATTACCTCATCAATCCCCTTATCCCATAATATTTCGTAATATAACTTGCTAGTAAGTACAGACAGCTATGTGACAATTTGTACTTAGCTTATAGCTGTTCGACCCAGCTTGCAGCCTGTGGATGCTCTCCCATGCTAGCTTCCTTTGATTCTGACCGCCATGATCACAATCTGTGGCTTTTTCTGGCGTGTCTTATATGCAGCAGCCGGCATACCGGGAATCTTCGCTGGTGAGACCGGTTCAGACCCCTCCTCCTGTCAGTCCCTCAGCCGCATTCCACGAGGACGCAGAAGCACATCCTACGTCATCTCGCTCCACCCCCAAAACACTAATATTTTTAATGCAAGAGATAAAATATTTTTACTGTCTAGTGAGCTGCAGTTTTGGACCTCATCTGTTGAGCAAAATAATTTGAACACTTTGCCAACACTTAAGGATTTTCTTGAAGAATAAGAAATTGAACTTGAAATTGTAAATCATCTTCGTCATTTAATCCCATCTATTGATCAGTATTTTCCATTCTTGAATGAAAACAATAATGAGTTAGTACGAAATCCATTCATAAAAGACAAGCCAGACAATTTTTCTGATGTAGATTTTGACAATCTGATCGATAGAACTTCTGACAGTCAACTAAGCCAAAAATGTAAAGAAGTTTCTCTTATTGCTTTTTGGGGTGATTTACGCAAAGAATACCCAGAATTGTCCAAGCAGGCAATCAAAGTTTTGTTGCCATTCGCCAGCACTTATGTGAAACTGGATTCTCGCTTTACTCTGCAACAAAAAAAAAAACAAAACAAAGTATCGAAATTGACTTGACGCAACTGCAAACATGCGAATACAATTGTCAACAATTAAACCAGATATGAAAAGAATTTGCCAGCAAAAGAGAACTTTACACTCTGCTCATTGAAAGGTTTGTGCTGCGCTCCTCTACGGCGCACATTTTTTTGTTGGGGTTCCAACGTTTTGGGAAACCCTGCTGTAGGGGGAACTAACATCCATAGTGACCCACACATACTCCAGGTTCCGCGGGATGTTCGACAACTCTCTCATGATCCGGGAGGAATATTTTAGACACGATGGAGCTTGTTGGCCATATTTCTAAGTACTCTGATAGATTGCACTTTCTGGTGGGTTTATAATATCTTTATGTATTTTCAGCAAATAGTAAAAAAAAATTGGTCATTTTGGATAATTAGTTAATAAATAATTGAACTCTTCCTTAGTTAGAATATCTTTATTTCCATTCCAGCATGCGGAAAATCGAGATATTTAGGCGCCAGTTGCTGTTTTCTCGCCAGTGGCGTGAAAACCAGTCTGCCATGAGGTATTCTGCTTGTAGAGTAATATTGTGAGCAAGGCAAAATCTGATTCCACAATGAAATCCGGTGTCGGCCCGAATATTGCTCGGCCATTCCTGGCTTGCATGTGGAGTAACCACCAATGAAGTTACGTCCGCACTTCCCCCAACAAGGGTACCCATTGGTCGTATGAGTGACCCAGACGTAAATGTTGTGCCCTCAGTCGTTGCATCACTCTGTGATGCAGAGGCCCTGGGAATATCGCCTGGATCGAGGAGGAGAGGAGACCCTCTATCCAGGCGAGGAGACGAAGTGGAACCATATCCATGCATAGAATCTGTCGAATCTCCTTTCGGATAGATGCTATCTTCGAGGCAGGAAGTCGAAGGATGCGCTCCCTTGAATCTATTGCGAAACCGAGGAACAGAGAGCTGACTTTTGGCTGTTCACTATGGAGCCCAAAGACTCCAGAAAGTGAACGACAAAGTTCGTCTGGAAACGCAGTCTGGATTCTGCATCGTAGACAAGGCAACGTATGCCCCTGGATTGAGAATGGGCCATAACTGGCTTCAGTAGCTTCGTGAAGCACCACAGAGCCGAACTTAGGTGGAAAGGCAGGCACGTAAATTGACACGACCGACGACCCCATACGAACCTAAGAAAGCGATGGCACGTAGGCGCCACGGGTACCGAAAAAATCGCGGCAGAGGGGTCCTTGAGGTCGAGGCAGGTGAACCAATCGTTGGCCAGTAGGAGATTCCGGAGTAGGTAAATTCCCTCCATTTTGAAATGTCAGTAGACGACATAGTCGTTGAGCCAGCGGAGGTTGATGACTGGCCGAAATTCTCCCGACTTTTCCAGACCAGGAAAATGTTGCTGTAGAAGCCCCAATCGTCCAGGGTGAATTGTACCGCCCCTTTGGTGAAAAGAGAACAAATCACTTCGTCTATTAGTCTGCTGTGTTCTTGTGACGCATGTACTGTTGCCTGTGTTTGGGAGTCAAAATGGCATTCGGTTATACGATTGGCGGCCACCCAGGGAAAGCACTCAAGTTAATGTGTGGGGGTGTAAATGTGACATCGAATTAAAGAAGATTTTGTCTTCTAAAAAAAACTGTATAGAATATGTGTTGATGTAATAAATGAGAGAGATGCAAATAGCAATTGAACACAGACTGCAAGAATTACTTGTGTCCTCAAAAGGTTAAAATAGGTAAACAGGGGGGGGGGGAGGCAGCCGTCCGCAATTAGTGTTTTCTATCTCCGGGCTCACAGCGCTCCTGAAGAATGGCGGCGGAGGCTGCGCAGCCCATCAAAAACATCAAGGAAATAGTTTCCTTGTATCGTGACCTAAGCCATTATCCAACACTTTACAGTGCAACCGTTGGACCTGATGTCACTACGCAATATGGCGGCAAATATTGCAACATCTACACTGAGTGGACACAGAGAGATCTTGATCGCAACGAGCAAGTAAAATTTTGCCGACAGTCAGGGCCGGCCTTAGGGGTGTGCGAGCTGTGCGACCGCACAGGGCGCCATGGAACAGGGGGCGCCCTGTGGCCGACACAGCTCACTCATGGCCAGAGTGCAGGGGAGCTAAAAGAGGTACCTGGCTGGAGGATTAATTATTCTCCACCCGGGTCTATTTAAAAAAAAAAAAAAAATAGCGGCAGAGGGGGCGGGGTTTACCGAGCAGCGGAGGCGGGGCTTATCGAGAGGCGGAGACGGGGCTAATACCTCCCGAAGCCCCTGCTGTACAGGAAGAGGGAAAGATGCTTCCCCATCAGCCAACTGCATCCACTGGAAAGAGGTAAGTGTGTGTGTGTGACTGTTTGCCTGTTTGTGTGACTGTCTGTCTGTGTGTGTGTGTGACTGTCTGTCTGTGTGACTGCCTGTCCTTGTGTGTGTGTGTGTGTGTGTGACTGTCTGTCTCTGTGTGTGTGTGTGACTGTCTCTGTGTGTGACTGTCTCTGTGTGTGACTGCCTGCCTGTGTGTGACTGTCTGTGTGTGTGACTGTCTGTCTGTGTGTGTGACTGCCTGTGTGTGTGACTGCCTGTATGTGACTGCCTGCCTTTGTGTGTCTGTCTGTAACTATCTGTCTGTGTGTGACTGCCTGCCTGTGTGTGTGACTTTCTATCTGTGTGACTGCCTGCCTGTGTGTGTATAACTGTCTATGTGTGTTACTGTGTGTCTGTCTGTGTGTGTGACTGCCTATGTGACTGTCTGTCTGTGTGTGTCGCTGTAGCTGTGCCATTGTTTGTGCCTGTGCCTGTATGTGTGACTGCCTTTAACTGAGTGTGTGTGTACATGCCTGTAACCGAGTTTAAATTTCCCCACCCCTTCCTGTCAAGGCCGCACTTTGACTGACAGACGCTCACTCACTGACAGACGCACACTCACTGACAGACACACACTCTCATATACACTGACAAACAATGACATACACACATACACTATTACTTGGACACACACTGACAGATGCACACTCTCACTGACACTGACAGATGCACACTCTCACTGACAGACGCAAGCACTCACTGAAAGATGCACGACTCCACTGACCGACACATACACACTGACTGACACACACTCACTGACCGACACACACTCACTGACCGACACATACACACTCACTGACTTACACACTCACTGACTTACACACTCACTGACCGACACACACTCACTGACGACACATACACACTCACTGACAACACATACACACTCACTGACTGACACATACACACTCACTGACTGACACATATACACTCACTGACCAACACACACATTCACTCACAGACACACACACATTCACTTACAGACACACACAATTACACACTTACAGACACACACAATTACACACTTACAGACACACACACACACACACACACATTCACTTCAAAATAAACACTCACAGACACACACACAGACATTTCCACTAACACTCACAAACTAATATTTTTTACATTTATTTTAAATCCACCCAGCCTCCCTGAGAAAGCTGGAGTGGATTTCTTACCAGCAGTCCAGTGTGGCTGCTGGGCAGGCAGGCAGGGGGCGCACAGGCTGAGTAAGCAGCGCTTAGTGATGCCGGGAGCCGGACTGACGTCATATTCTGGCTCCCGGCTTCATTACCGGCGCAGAGGAAGCTGAGCAGGAAGAGCTCAGGTGAGTATGCTCCTTCGCTGCCCGATGCCAGCCTTGGGGGGGCTCAAAAGTGGCCAGCCGGTCAGCTCTTGAGCCCCCCAGGATGCGAGGCAAGCAAGGGATCTGCCTGGGGGTTTGGAGGGATGCTTTTTTTTGCCGCCCCTGCAAAGTGGCGCCCAAGGCAGATGCCTTGTTTGCCTCGTGATACACACGTCCCCGGTGCCTGTGTGTGTTACTGTATTCAGGCAACTTGGTGGGAGGTGGGGGGGGCGCCGTGAAGACTTTTTGCACAGGGCGCCTAATTGCCTAAGGCCGGCCCTGCCGACAGTACATAGTGTTCCATGATAATAACACCATTGTGTATTCAGGTGCCTGTGGGAATAGCTGCGAGATCAAGGGAGAACTACTCAGCAAAGAGTCCCTTTCTGGATCACTGAAAGCTGTCCTACGAGACACCACCAATGCCAAAGGGGAAAGCACGCAGTTCTTGGAGGTGTGGGACAAGAATTGCAAAATAAAGAGCATCAACCTGACCTCTCTCGATAAGCATGGGAAGGTGTATGAGGATGACCAGTTTGGATGTCTGTCCTGGTCCCATTCCGAATCTCATCTATTGTATATTGCCGAAAAAAAGAGACCCAAAACAGAAAGCTTCTTCCAGATTGATTCTAAAAATCTTGGCTCAGGAGTGTCTGATGGGAAGGAAGATGCTATCCCAAAACCTATCAAGGGTGATCAGTTTGTGTTCCATGAGGACTGGGGAGAAGGCCTGGTAAATAAGAGTGTTCCAGTTTTGTGTGTTATGGACATCGAGAGTGGCAACATTTCTGTACTGGATGGAATACCCGAATATGTGTCACCAGGACAGGCATTCTGGTCCCCTGATGACACTGGAGTTGTGTTTGTCGGCTGGTGGCATTCCCCTTATCGACTTGGCTTAAAGTATTGCCCCAATAGGAGATCTGCACTGTTTTTTGTGGACCTGACTGGCGGCAAATGTGAAACACTCTCCACGGACTTGGCTTCTGTTTTTTCACCCAGATTGAGCCCTGACAAGTGCCGTATAGTATATCTAATGTGTGAACAATTTGGACCTCATCAGCAGTGCTGCAAACTGCTTATGTATGATTGGTATACAAAAGTGACCTCCACTGTGGTCAGGGACGTATTAGCCGCGAGGCAAACAAGGCATTTGCCTTGGGCGGCATTTTTCAGGGGGCGGCAAAAAACGCCGCCCCCCAAATGCCCAGGGCAAATGCCTAGTTAGCCTTGCGGCTAACTGACATCCCGGCGGCGGGCGGCTGGCGAGGGAGCACTTCCTATGAGCTGACTGCTCAGCTCCCTCGCGCGCCGCACAGTGAGGCTGGGAGCCGGAAGATGACGTCATCTTCCGGCTCCCAGCCTCACTCTGCAGCCAGCGCGAGGGAGCTGAGCAGACAGCTCATGGGAAGTGCTCCCTCGCCAGCCGCCCGACCGCCAGCCCGCCCGCCCGACCGGCAGCCACTGGACCACCAGGGAGAGAGACCCCCACCCCCCCCCAGCACTCCCAAAGGTAAGGAGGTTGGGGGGGGGATTTAAATAAAAAAAAAAAGTTAATCTGTGTGTGTGTCTGACTGTGTCTGACTGTCTGTGTATGTGTCTGACTGTGTGTGTTTGTGTCTGACTGTGTGTGTGTTTGTGTCTGACTGTGTGTGTGTGTTTGTGTCTGTCTATGTGTGTGTTTGTGTCTGACTGTGTGTGTGAGTGTGTGTGTGTATGTGTCTGACTGTGTGTGTGTATGTGTGTGACTGTGTGTGTGTATGTGTCTGACTGTGTGTGTGTGTGTGTGTATGTGTATTTAGAAGGTGGGGCGGGGGGAAGGGTTGGGTGGGGGTGGCGCGGGGAGAGGGGGGTGCCTGAGTTTTGTCCTGCCTAGGGCAGCACAAAACCAGGATACACCACTGACTGTGGTAGATATTGTGCCCCGAAGCACTGATGGGCAGTTTGCAGGTATTTATGGCACATTACTCGCTTCATTCTGCTGGTCTGCAGACAGCCAACGAGTGGTTCTTGATACGGTGCAGCGCAGTAAACAGAGTGTGTTTGTTGTGGATATTATAAATGGAAAGCTGACACCACTCCAATCCAAAGGAAATTATCCACCAGGATCCTGGAAGGTGTTGGCTATTGACAGAGATCTACTTGTTACCTCATTTTCCTCTCCAAACCACCCACCTACAATAAAAGTGGGGTTCTTACCCCCTAATGGCAAAGAAGATGACATCGCATGGGTTTCATTGAAGGAAGATAATTCTGGTTTTAATATAGATTGGAGTTTCAAAGTCCATCAACCTCCTCAAGAACAGGAGAACTCAAAGTATCCTGGCCTCAATTTTGAGTCTATCTTCCTTAAGCCGCAGAACATCCCTGCTGAGAGCAAAATTCCCTTGGTCGTCTACCCTCACGGAGGCCCACACTCTGCCTTTGTCAGCGAATGGATGCTTTTTCCGGCTATGATGTGTAACATGGGTTTAGCTGTACTACTAGTAAATTATCGAGGATCAGTGGGCTTTGGACAGGACAGCATTGTTTCCCTGCCAAAGAATGTCGGAGAGCAAGATGTCAAAGATGTTCAGTTTGCAGTGGAGCAAGTTCTGCAAGAAGAATCTTTGGATCCAAACAGGGTCATAATATGTGGAGGATCACACGGTGGCTTCTTGTCGTGTCATTTGATTGGTCAATACCCAGGATTCTATAAAGCATGCATTGCTCGCAACCCAGTGACTAACCTGCTCTCAATGTTTGGATCAACTGATATACCAGACTGGTGTTTGGTGGAATCCGGTATCCCTTACTCTTACCAGGCTGCACCGGATCCTTCTCAATATGGGGAAATGTTAGATAAATCCCCTATCCGATATGTCTCTCAGGTTAAGACCCCGGTCCTATTAATGCTGGGAGAGGATGATCGTCGAGTGCCGAACAAGCAGGGCCTGGAATATTATAGAGCATTGAAAGCTCATGATGTGCCTGTACGGCTTCTTTGGTACCCTGGAAATAACCATGCACTAGCCAAGGTGGATGCAGAATCAGACAATTTTATGAATATCGCA